GGGAGAATGGATCTACTTGTAAAAATGTATGGAGATTTTCACTTTCAGTGAAAATTTAAGAGTGAAGAAATTGAGACTCGTAGCAAGTTTAAGAATACTGTATGGGAATTTCGCATCTGCCTCTGGACTCTGTTGGTTCCATTATATGTTTTAGCCCATAGGTGAAGAAATGGAAGAAACTGGTGCTCAGATCTGGACTGGAGGTAGCATGGAGGGCTAATAATACCTAGGCCTATCCCTTCGGTAAAGATGACCCCCATTCTATCTGTTGGAGTCCTTAATGGCTTTCAGCTAGTTCAGAGATACTCCATTCCTAGAAGCTGGAATAACTCTTTGGGTTTATAGGTGTTAGCACTTCTCCTCCCCAACCTATCTCCCATCTGGTATGAATCCCTGAGGTAGCCATCCACATTTGTTTAGTGCCAACTTCACATCCACCTGATTGAACCATTTCTCATAGAACAGAAAGCAGCAGCCATGAGTTTGCTGCTGATTGGAAAAGAGAAACACAGTTGTATTTTCTCCCCAGTACAAGAACTGGCATTCAGAGGGGAGTCGGGGGAAAGAGAGTTGCTTGGATTAGAGCACTGAGGTCTAATCAGGTGAACCTTCCTTTGATGACGACAATGCTCACGCCAGCTTTCAGTTGGGACGCCAAGTAAGATCATAAAAGGAAAATCTCCCACCGGGCATGGGAAGCTCAGGTTCCTTCACATTGGCTTTTGTAGGATTGCTGCTCAGGTTACTTTTTCTTGCCTATCTGGAAGGTACTCCAGGGGCAACACTTCAGTTAAAGTGGTTTTTGAGGTTAACATGAAACAGTTTTGAGTTAAGGCCAAAGAAAGCCTCCTTTTGCTTGCAGAACAATCTGAAGCCTCTTGCTTAATGCAATGGTAGATGATTGGTTTGGGGGAAAGTTAGTTTTCCCCAAAGCAGAAAAAGATAATATACCTGACCCTTGTCCTGCTCATTTGCCCTTTTCAACAGAAACAACTTGTTGAGAGGAACCTCTTAGGACAGGAAAGGGTAGGAAGACAAACTTATTTATAAGCAGGTTGCAAGGGAGAGCTTTTTTCTACCCCAGAGTATAGGAGGCAGCTAGCACCAATTTTCCAGTTATCACTGTTGGTTAAAACTTTGAGCAACATGTTAGTACCAGGCATTGTGTTGGAAAAGATCTTGTTCTCTTTATACCAACTTCTTATTGAATGCAATTAACATTGCCTTCCTGTTCAGTGTTTCAAGGCTATGTCATATTTTCCTAGTGGTGTTTCAAGGCTATGTCATATATTCCTAGTGGTTTGATTAAAAAATAAAGAGTTTGATTTTTTTTTTACTTCCCCCATTGGTGGACTGATTTTCTCTTTTACATCTGGACAATGATGATATTTTACCTGATTCTCAGTTTTCTCATAAATGTATTAATACAGGTATCAGAAACATCACTTACAGCACACATGCAGGAACTAGCCCATTTATACCTAAACCCATTTCTGACATTTAGTGGAGGCATTGTTCATGCTTTCAGGAAGATTCCTACTAGAGTAGGAAGCAAGAAACCTGGCTGGGCATCAGTTGTATGGCATGGACTTGTGCCCTCCTATGACAGGGGATTGGACTAGCTGGTGATCTTGAAGGTCTCAATGAGAGATGCCAACTCAGACATTCTATGAAGTATCTACTCATTAGGACTACTTTCATTTCAGATATGCAAGATAAATTCCAGTTCTAGTGAAAACACATTTCTTCCCATAAGACCTTGGATGAGTCCTTTCATTTCTCTGGGCCTCAAATTCTTCATATAAAATGAGGGGGTTGAACTAAATCCTAGTTGTAACAGTCATAAACCTTAAGGCTATGTTAAGGCAAGAAGTTTACATGTAAAATGTTCTGTCTGTTGGCTTCCCTTTGCTTCTGGAATCAGGGAGGTTGAGGTGTTTTCCATGGTGAACAAGGAAGAGATTGCCAGGGAAAGAATTTGTTTTTTATTTTAATTTATTTTTAGTTTTAAACATTCACCTCCACAAGATTTTGAGTTCCAAATTTTCTCCCCATCTCGTCCCTCCCCCTACCCCAAGACAGTGCATTTTGAATACCCCTTCCCCCTAATTTGCCCTTCCTTCTATCTCACCCCCCTTCTCTTATCCCCTTTCCCTTCTATTCTCCTGTAGGGCAGGACAGATTTCTATACCCCATTGCCTGTATATCTTATTTCCCAATCGCATGTGAAAACAACTTTTAACATTTAGTTTTTAAAACTTTGGGTTCCAAATTCTCTCAGGGAAAGAATTTGTTGAGTGGGCCCTTTAGTGTTATATTAATTGTGTACCTGGAAGTGCTGAGCCTACAGGAGATGCCTGATGAATGCTTGTGATTGGTGGTAGACATTTAGGAATGTGGATTATAGAAAGAATTATAGACTAAGACCTTAGAACTTGCCTAGGAAAACTGGGAACCAGAGAGAAAAATGAAGTTCTCCAAAACCACTAACTAATGATATCTTGATTAGACTATTAAGGAAGACCCTCTCAACACCTATTCTATATGATGACCATTTTGTATTTTTATCAAACTAGTAAATCCATGAGGGAGAATTTATGTGGAAACTTGAACAAAAATAACAAGAAGAGGTGAGGGATAATAATCTTTAAAATCACAATAATTATGAATGGATAATTTTAGCTTCTTTATAAAAACTCTTATAGAGTAATGGCAACATGGAATAATGGATAAAGTGATAATCCACTGATTGACAGTATTAAAAAAAGAACAGGCCAAATCTATTAAAGTTAATTTAGTATGAGTAAATTCAAAGCCTTACATGTGGGTTCAGAATATCTACATCAAGTATAAAGTAGGGAAGGTGTAGCTCCATTGTCATGTAGCCTGTCCAGACCATATCTGATGTACTTTGTATAGTTCTGGTTGCTGCTGTTTAGGAAGGGTATTAATAAGTTGGAAGATGTCTAGAGGAAGGCCGGCAGGACTATGAAGGGCTTTGAGCTCATGCCATACAATAACTAATAATACAATGCTTTAAGGTTTGCAAAATAGATTGCCTTCTCTTTCTCATTTGAACCAACAACCTGGTAGTGTTATTCCAATTTTACAAAAGAGGAAACTGAAGGAGTGATATTAGGCCAGTGTTAGACAACTATGGTGTCTGAGGCAGGATCCAAACCTGAATCTTGATTCTAAGTCCAACACTTTAACTTCTAGGAACGAAGGATGTTTAGCTTGGAGCAGACAATGTTTGGGGTACATGAGAGCTGTCTTCAAGTATTTAAAAGATTTGTTCCCCTTGGCCCCAGAGGGAAGATATTTTCTCCTTCCATTATATAATTCTTCTGCCTCATTACTGTGATGTCCAAGAGGCTTCATGTTTATGGTCTTAAGATCGTCCTAGATAAATTCAGAGAGGCCCATCACTATATTAACCATTTTGCAAGTGTAGTCACTCAAGCAAGCAACTTTACTGGGCTTCAGTTTCCTCATCTGTGAAACAGTGGTTTAGATGCAGGGGGTAGAAGATGCAGAGGAAATTTAGGCTTGATGTTAGGAAAAACTTTCAAATAATTAGAGCTATCCAAAAGTGAAATGGGCTGCCTCACAAGGTAGTGCCCTCTGATTGGAGGCCATAAGATGACTTGTTACATAATAGAGAATTCTTTTCAGATTTGCAAAGTTCTCCCTACATTTGGGTTCATAAAGTCTTAGGTACAGAAAGTCGACTTCAGCGTGTACAAGGTGGGGGAGGCTTGATTCGATAGCAGCTGTTATGAAAAACATCTGTGAGTTTTAGTGGGTTACAAAGTCAATGCAAATTAGCAGTGTGATGTAACCAGATAAGTTAATATGATCTTGAGCTACATTAAAATACAAATAATGTTAGTAGCTAGCAATTATATAGTACTTTAAGATTTGCAAAGTGATTTACATGTCATTTCATTTGATACACTCAACAACCCTATGAGGCAAGTGATATTTCCACTTTGCATTTTGTAGGTTTGTCTGGTCACAGAGGGCAGAATTAGGAGCAATGGGTGGAAGCTGGCAAAGAGGCAAATTTAGGCTTCATATTAGGGAAAACTTGCCAAGAAACAGAGCTGTCCAAAAGTGTAAATTCCCTCTTAGAATCAGAAGCTAACTAATCAGGATGATCACTTGTCAGGTAGTGGGGATTCTTTTCATATATGGGTTAGACTAGGTGGTCACTTAGATCCCTTCCAACTCTCAGGTTTTCTGATTCTGCGATTCATAGACTGATTTATTCCTGGTGGAGGAAATTATCCGTTGTGATAAATCAGATCTTTTGGGCATTCTCAGGTAGGATACTTTTAGGTTCACAAAATTACAATCCCCGCACACTCCTTGACTTACTGATATAAGCATGGATTCTCCCGCCTTCTCATTGTGACGTGGCTGTGAGCCTGACTCCCATGCAGGTACAGCCCTGGAGGCTGCATATTTGTAATAAGATAAGCTTACCTAAATTCAGAGAGGATCATCACCATACTGGCCATTTTGTAAGTGTAGTCAGCACTCGAGCAACTTCACTGGGCCTCAGTTTCCTTATCTGTAAAAATGGTTTAGACTAGATGATCTCTAAGTGCCCTTCCAGTCCTAGGTCTTTTACAGTCCTATTGAGTGTTTCCTAATTTCGGTAAGACACGTTCAGGGATTTAAAGCAGCATGGAGTGGTGTTGAAACAGCACACACTGGGAATAAAGGAACCTATGTTTGAGTCCTTTCCACTAACTGCTTATCTGCCTTTGCCTCAGACAAGCCCTTTTCCCTCTGTGGGGCTCCGTCTCCTTTCCCCAAAGGAGATGACAGATTCTCCAAACCCCCGCTCCGCGCTGAAATCCTACAAACTGTTCAATTACCGGGCTAGTTCCCAACCCCGCCCACCGCAGTGGCAGTGCGCGTGCGCAGCAGGCTTCGGTTGGCTGCCCCGGCGCGAGGCGGGGCTCCTCGGCTTATGATTGGTTCGCTGCAGCCGGTGATGCCAGACGTAAAGTGGCGTCAGTGGCAGCAAGGGGAGCGTGAGCAAAGCCGAGGATTGCACAGGGAAGGAGGTGAAAGGCCGCGACTGAAACAAAATGAGCAAAGCGCACCCGCCCGAACTAAAAAAGTGAGTACGGTGACCTGGCTACTGGAGGGCCCCGGGGGTTCAGCTCAGCCTGCCCCGAGTCGTGAGGGAGCCCTGGGGAAGCATAACAGAGTCTTCTGCTTCCCAGCATGCACCGCGCTCCCGGCCTTCGCTCTGACTCTGGCCACGTGGGGCGGGGGAGGGGCGCGCGAGCGCGCGCGTGATCGGCCTCTTGTGGTGTCTCGCGCTCCATTCATTCATTCTTTCCCGGACAGCAGTTGTTGAGTGGCCCCAAGTTCGGGAGGCGATGTGGGGTGCGGCAGGGTAGATCGATTGATAGCAAGGCGATTCAGACCTTGCGTCTACCGTGTTAAGATTCTCTCAGGGCTTCTTCGAAGCTTAAAATAAATGCTTGCTGATATCACTGTGTAATCTATTTGGAAAATGGAATTTAAAACCAGATGTGATGTTAGAGGTAATTCCAACCACTGTATTTGACAGAAGAGTAAACTGAGGCTCAGAGAGGGACGATGACTTGTCAAAGATGGCTTAAACGGAGCCAGATTTCCCAACTTAGGGCATATTCATTTTTGTAGCATTTGGAATGGAATGGTGGAAAGATGCCAGACCTTAAAGTGGAGTGAGTACACAAGGCCTAATCAGCTAGGAAGAAGGCAAATCTAATCCAATCTCTTCATTTTACAGATGTGGAAACTGAAGTCCAGAGGGGAAATGGCTTGACCAAGCTCACTTTTATGTAGTGCTGTGAAGTGTACTACTCATTGTTTCTCTTCTTTTTTAAAATGCCTTGATCATTTGTTTCAACATTGCCTTCATTTCCCAATATATCCCACTCCCCTTCCTACCCAAGAGAGCCATACCTTGTAATAAAGAATAAGAAAGAAAAGTAGGGTGGGGGAGAAACTAAGTTCAGCAAAAGTAATCAACACATCATATTAGTTTTATGGAAGCAGAATTTCAACCTTCTTTTGCTCCCTCCTCCCCCCCAGTCCACTGAGAGGAATTGGAAATAGGACCATGATTTAAGCATAGATGAGTAGGGGAGTTGTGGTGCCATTAGCAAAAAGAGGAAAGTCAGGACTAATAGTAGGTTTGGAAGGAAAGAACAAGGAGGTCTGGAGCAGCTAAGTAATGAAGTGGATAAGAATGCTGACTCTGAATTTAGGAGAACCTGAGTTTTACTCTTACCTCAGATGCTTCCTAGCTATGTGACTCTGGGCAAGTTACTTCTGTTTGCTTTTCTCATTTGTAAAATGAAATAATAACACCTACCTTTCATGGTTGTTATGAGCATAAAATTAGACATTTGTGTGAAGTGCTTTGCCAAGCTATATAAATGCTAGCTATTATTATTATGGAAACCAATACATTTCACAGCTGAATATAAATTCAGGAGTCATTCTCATAAAAGTTATTGAAACTGGAAGTGAATTTGATAGCAAAGTTGGTGAATATAAAAAGGAAAAAGGACATGGCTCAATATAGAAGCTTGGGCAATGCCTAGGTTAAGTGGGCGAGAGAAGAAAAATCGGGTGAAAGAAGTCATTAGCATATTAGGAGACCTTGGAGTGGAATATCATGAAAGCCAAAGGAAGGAAAGATATCAAAGAGGAAGTGAACATTTAAATAGGGGCTTGATCCAGTGATGCATCTTCCCCCGCTGCCGCCCACCCCCCCAAAAAAAAGGTTTTGGCAAGTAGGATACTATTGGTGAACTTTGAGAAAGCTATTTTTGTTAGATATGGAAACCAGATTGCATGTGGTTGAGTAAATGAGTAATAAAGTAGAGTCATCTTGTTTAGGCAACTCAAGGGGTGTAGGCCCTAAAAGTATTCCTTGTCTTAGGGACTCAGCTCTGGTTCCATCTCCTTCATGAAGCTTTTCTCAGTTCTCCTCAACTTTTCCCATCTCAGTTTTCCTTGTATTGTGCTTGTGTCTTATTCCATTGTGGCTAGGTGGTGAAATCGAAGCTTTAGCCTACAGTCAAGAAGACCCCAAGTTCAAATCCACCCTTTGTGACCCTGAACAAGTCACTTAACCTCTGTCTACCTCCCGTTTCCTCAACTGTAAAACAGGGATCATAAAGGCATCTGCCTAACAAGGTTCTTTTAAGGATCAGATTAGATCGTGGTGGAGAACCTGTAGCCTTGAGGCCACACATAAAAGGACCGCACTTGAGGACTTAGTGGGCCATGTGTGGCCTTGAGGCTTCAGGTTCCCCACCCCTGGACTAGATGTTTGTGAAGCACTTAGCACATTGCCCTGCGCATAGTAGCTGCTATGTAAATACTTATTTCCTTCCCCCCTAGAAGTTTCTTGAGGGCTGGAATCATTTGTATATAGCAGATGCTTAATCAGTGTTTCTGTGAATTTAGAAAGATAGGATGATACCTGAAGGGAGTAGAAAGACTTAGGGAAGCTTTTGTTTTGGTATTTCAAGATTGGAAACACCTGAGCATATTTGTAGTTAGAGAGAAAGAAACCTGTGGAGAGAAATGATAGTAATTTAAATGCCTTGAAAGCTATTGCACTGGGAGGCAGATGCCCAGTCGTCTGGTTCTAGGTCTGCCACTGGGGAACCTTGGGCAAATCACTTCACCTCTGAGGCTGTTTCCTCATCTGTAAAATAAGAATGTCAGACTAGATAATCTCTAAATTCATTTCCAGCTCTGAATTTTAGGAATCTAATTCATCAAACTTGTAATAAGTAACCTACTATGTGCAAGACTATGGGATATGGAGACAAATTAACAGTCCCTACCTTCTAGGAACTTAGTCTACTGGGAGATAAAATGTTTAAACATAAGTGAAGAACCAGTAACTTGAGGAGGAAGAGAGCATTAAGAACTGGAAGGATCAGGAAAAGCTTCATGAAGAAGAGAGCACCTGAGAGGTTCAAAGGAAGATGAGAATTCTGACAGACAGAGATGAGGCCCTGCATGGGGAGGGGAACCGAGGGTCCGACAAGAGATGACTTGTATGATTGTGTACAAGTGGGATAACAGATTCAGAGAATAATGAGGCATTTGGGCCAGAACATGGAGCACATAAAGGGAAATTATATGAAATACATTTGAAAAGGTAGGTCATTGACAGCTATAAATTTGCCCACCTCAGGAGTTTGTATCTTAGAGTCAGGAGGGAAATGCTTTTTGAACTAGAGTAAATCAAATGACATACTGGAAGAGCTGGGAGAAGATAGGATCAAGGCTACTTATTCCAAGGCTTATATATAACCTTGAGGGGAAAGGGAGACTGAGATAGAGGGAGGCTTGTTGTAAATGAGTTTTGAGATATGGAACGAAAGGAAAGAGGGATAACACTAACTTACATTTATATGATGCTTTAAATTTTGCAAAGCACTTTCAGGGAAAAGGGCTGGAAAAGGGCACCTGCCTCCCAGTGCAATAGCTTTCAAGGCATTTAAATTATTATCATTTCTCTCCACAGGCTTCTTCCTCTCTAATTACAAATATGCTCAGGTGTTTCCAATCTTGAAATACCAAAACAAAAGCTTCCCTAAATCTTTCTACTCCCTTCAGGTATCATCCTATCTTTCTAAATTCACGGAAGCACTGATTAAGCATCTACTATATACAAATGATTCTAGCCCTCAAGAAACTTCTAGGGGGGAAGGAAATAAGTATTTACATAGCAGCTACTATGTGCAGGGCAGTGTGCTAAGTGCTTCACAAACATCTAGTCCAGGGGTGGGGAACCTGAAGCCTCAAGGCCACACCTGGCCCACTAGGTCCTTTGATGTGTGGTTGACAATTGGGAAACAGAAATATCTTGTCAGACTAGAACATTGGGCAGAATCCAATAAGATGACATTCTATAGGGATAAATATAAAATCTTGCACTTGTAAGGTTGAGGGAGATGGAGATTTGAGCTCAAGGCCAGGATGGGGAGAAATGGTTACAGTATCATATCTGGGTTTTTTTAGTGGACTGCAAACTCCTTGGGAGTCAGCATCGTGATATGGGAGTCAAAAGCTGTGCAGTGTCAGCTGGCACAAGGAGAGATGGACATTTCTTCCAGTAATGGGAGGTAATTGTCCCTCTACTTCCTACCCTCCAGAGACCACCAGTTTATGGAGGACATTTTTAAACTGGAGATGTTCCAGAGGACATTAGGCCTCATACATTAGAACCAAGAGCAATAGATAGAAGTTGCAAAAAAGGCAAACTTACTCCTGATGTGAGGGAGAACTTCTAGCAAAAGTAGAATGGAGTAGGGTTCCCTTAGTGAGGGTCTTCAACCACAGGCTAGGCGAGTGCTGGTCATGAAAGTTATAAAAAATTCAAGTATACGTTATATTTGATGACCCCTGTGGTCCCCTTCTAACACAAAAAGTTATTGTGAAAACCAAGTCGAGATAGTGATAGGAATCTGGGTTAATGTCACGGATGAGAATAGAAATTCTTAGGTGGGCCTCGGTTTTCTCATCTTTAAAATAAAAAGGTTGAGCTAAATTCTCTTATTTCATGATCCAAGTATTATAAACCCATGTAGGAAAAAAAATACATAAAAATAGGGCACAACAGCTTATCAAATTTTTCCAGCTCAGCTTTTGTGTCATTCTTAATATTTGCTACCAGCATCAATCCTGAATTACTTATAGACTGATTAAAAAGTTGCTTGTGTCGTGTCTCTATTATAATATATTTGTGGAATATAAGAAAGCCATTTGTGTTAGGGGCCATTTCATAGACTACTGATGTAAACCAAACATGTCAGGATTCCCCAGACTATTATTACTAATTCAGCCTTCATCAGTACCTTACATCTTTTCTTCCTTTGGACTAATTTATTGTAAGCAAAAAATATTTTGGGAATTGGAAAAAGTGGGAAAATCTGACCCTTCCAGTCAGTGAACACCTAAATGAAAAAGGTAAAGACTGAATTAATAACATAATACAGTACTTTAAGTTTCTAGTGTTAACATGGCTGAAATGTTAATTTTTTTACAGAAAAAAAAATACAATTAATATGAGTCAATCACCCTTCTCCCCCAGGGGGAAAAAACCTCTATTATTTGTTTGGTTTTAAATCTATATGTGGTTGGGGTAGCTAGGTGGCACAGTGGATATAGCTCTGGCCTTGGAATCAGGAGGACCTGAGTTCAAATTCAGCCTTAGACACTTGACATTTACTAGCTGTGTGACCCTGGGCAAGTCACTTAACCCCATTGCCTAACCCCCCCCCACCCCCAAGAAAAGTAAATCTACATGTGGTGTTGGAAAACATCAAATTACTTGATGAAATAGTTTATCTTAATTTTTTTTTAAACTGCTGCTTTAATATAAAATAATATGAACTACAGGTGACCTTTATCTCTCAATCTGAAGAAAAATTTGAGTAATTTCAGACAGGACAATTTTTGGAAATTTGCACTTACATAATATGCTTAATGTTTACAAAAATTAATGAAAATAGTGATTTTAGGGTCAGTTTGATCTAAATTTACATCAGTTTGACACCCCAGCTGCCCCCAGCAAAAGACAGTTGTACCAATTTAGGAAGCTCAGGTACCTTCTTTACCCATCCCTCATGAGATTTAAGCAACTAACTACTGTGGTTGGTTTTTTGGTCATTCATTCTTGTGCTTTAAAAAAAAAAGAGTTTGTATGCCCAAAGGGCTATAAAAATGTGCATACTCTGACCCAGCAATAGCACTTCTAGGGCTGTATCCCAAAGAGATCATACAAATGGAGAAAGGACCCCACAAAAGTATTTATAGCAGCTCTTTTTGTGGTAGCAAAGAATTGGAAATTGTGAGGATGCCCATCAATTGGGGAATGGCTGAACAAGTTGTGGTATATGAATGTAATGCAATACTATTGTGCTATAAGAAATGATGAGCAGGCAGACTTCAGAAAAACATGGAAAGACTTGTATGGACTGATGCTGAGTGAAGTGAGCAGAACCAGAACAGTGTACACAATAACAGCCACATTATAAGATGACTAACGTTGATGGTCTTAGCCCTTCTCAGCAATGCAAGGATCTTAACACATCTCCAAAGGTCTCTTGGTGGAAAATGCTATCCAAAATCCAAAGAAAGAACTATGGCGTTTGAATGCAGATCGAAGCATACTATTTGCTATTTTTTTCTTCTGTTTTGTTTTCTCTTTCTTGTGGTTCCTCTTATTGGTTCTAATTCTTCCTTACAACATGACTAATGTGAAAATATGTTTAATAGGAATGTATATGTATATCCTGTATCAGATTGCATGCTGTCTTGGGGAGGGAGGGGGAGAAAAATTTTAAAACTCAAAAGCTTATAAAAGTGATAGTTGATAAATCAAAATAAATTTTTTAAAAAAAGTTTGAAAGTATTATTTTACTTTCCCCTCTTTTGCTTTTTCAGATTTATGGACAAGAAGCTATCATGTAAGTTATTTGAGATGATTCTACTAACAAATGTTGTAAGTTTTTATTTATGTGGGTTTGGTGGCAGTATCTAATTCAGTACAATTAGTTAAAATTGAAATAATGTGTACTAAAACCTCTAATTCAGTTTTAACAATTTGTATGGGGGTAGAACTGCAGTTTGTCTCTGTTAAAGTCATAGTACAAATTAAGAAATCACTTTAGGAAGAATGTTTAAAATTCAGACTACTTGAATTAATAGTCTCTTATAGCTTTAAAAGCTTCATAAATGACATAGCTGTGATCATTCTGATCATTCATCTTACTAAGATACTTACTAGACCCTCCAGAAGATAACATTTGATCAATTTCAATTTGTTTCTTAACATACTGAAATAATTTAATTTTTTTTTTAATCACTAATTCACACTTTAACTGAGGCCAATTGAATGAAATTTTCTTTTTTATAATGTTACTCTTTGACAGTTCAGTGAACTGCTTTGGCACAGTATCTTAAGTGGGCAAGAGGTGATCTTATTTCACATATTTGTGCTTTATGTTACTTAATATTGTATAGCCAGGATGGACAGCAGGGTGCTGTAGAGTCCTGGGCTTGAAGGATCAAACAAGATAATAAAGCACTTTGCAAATGTTAAAGCAGTATGTAAATGTTAGTAATTATTATTAATTTTTTCTTAGAATGGTTAATGGACAGTTTTGCTAAAATTTCACTTTTTTTCTTAGTGAAATTAAATGGTGGGAGGCACGTCCAAGGAATATTGCGGGGGTTTGATCCATTTATGAATCTTGTGATTGATGAATGTGTAGAGATGGCACCAGGTGGGCAACAGAACAATATTGGAATGGTGGTAAGTAACAATTTTTGAGATAAGTAGTTAGTAAGTATTTATTAAGCTTACCAGGCTCAGTGCTTATGTCATGGGCATAAATTTGGAATGTAAGAAAGTCATTCATTTTAAGGGTCATATCAGGCTACTGGTGTCAATCATTTAAACATACCTGGATTCCTCAGAGACTATTACTAATCCATCCTTCATTTTCAATAACTTTCTACACCTGGAAAGCTAATTCTCTTCACTTTTTTGAAGATGTTCTATAGATGGGCTTTCTGGCTTCTTTTAAACTCAAGTATGGACAGATGAAAAGCAGATTGCAGTCAAGGTTCAGCCACTTTGTGGTTTGTCCCAGTCAAATCTTTTAAACTGTAATAAACATTTCATTGTCTAGAGGTTAGATTTCCTAACTAGAGTATTATCTGATGCTTAAAGTACCTGCATTCATCATATTGTCTCGTGCGTGGGGGAAAAAAAAAAACTTTTAACTTCTGCCCCCTCCTTCTTTTACAAAGCTTTAACTCAGGTGTCCTCCATGAAGCATTCCCAGATCTTCCCAAGCTGGAAGTTATCTCCTTCCTCTGATTTTTCAGAACTTTGCCTTGAAGTGTTTATGTGCATCTTCCGCTTCCCCACCTTGTCACTAGAATTTTACATTTCCTGAGAGTGAGGTCTGTGTTGTCTTATGTCTTTGTATCTCTCATGCTTTGTGCAATCATTGGTCCCTTGAGGCATGATGACTAAATTGGCTAACATTTTAATTGCAACTAACAGCCTCTCTACAATGTCAATTCTTTTCATTCTGTTGCAAATTTCCATGTCAGATACAAATTCATGTAGATTCCAAATATAAATTGTTTGTCATCCCATCATTCTTTTTACCATTAGTAGAGTTAATCTGAAATTGAATTTTATTTTAGGTTGGATGCCACCTTGACCTATAACTATAAGTCTTATGGGTGATCATTTCCTGGACGTTAAAATTGAGCTGTGGTTATATGGGTGCTCGTGATAACAATTTTCTGTTCTAAGGAGAAAGTGCTTGCCACTGACGTTATCAGGAGATCCAGGAGTTTAGTGACTGTGAATTCTGATGTAACAGGGAACCAAGTAGTTCTTACAAGCATGGGTCTAGATTAGGGAGATCTGTAAGCCCAAGCTGAACTGTGAATTGGCATTGAGGGGCCAGTACTAACTCTCAGTAGGAAGCATTGGGAATTTGGAATTGATTTGCATAGCACTCAGTTTTTCTCTCAGACCTCCCAGTGCCAAAAAAAAAAAATTCTGTATTCTTTGGCTTTGAGCTCTGGCTGTAAACTAATCCCTACTAAAGTATTAACTGAGAAGTCCTAAACTGATACCTTATGTAGCAATGCCAAGCATAGTTACCTTTTTAAAAAAGACTGGAAAAAGCAAAGCCTTTTAGACCTAATGGGATGAAAGGTGGTAAGTGGTAAAACAGTACGGGTACAGTCTGTTCTGCCCTTACTGCAGCGACTTCATGGCAGTGGCACAGTAGTATCTAATGAATTCTTATTGGTTAGTTTGTTTGAAATTGATGGCTCACAAGTTAAGTTGGTAAATGTCAGAATTTGGATTTGAGCCCAGGCCTCTTCTCTCCAAAAGGTTGCTCACCTCTGAACTGGATCTTTTAATAATACATAGTACATTCAAATTCTGTGTCGTAACACACAAGAGAAAAAAACTTTTGTGAAACTCAGTTGCTAGATAGTTTGGTTACATGCTGGTATACAAAATGGTCCTCACAGGCTCCAGAAACTCTCGTTTAAAAAAAACTCGGGAACACAAAAGTATAACAGCAGTAAATAGTTTTCAGCTAGAGAATGTGATAGAGGTGGATTCCATTCTTATGTAGTGATTTGTTTGAAGTTAATTTTCATTTCTATAGCCAAGTTTCACGTACTGCTTTACTAACAGCTTTGCTCTTTCTTAGGTAATCCGAGGAAACAGTATCATTATGTTAGAAGCCTTGGAACGAGTATAAAGAATGAAGCATGGATGATGCCCTGGATCTCCGCTTATCCTTTTCATTCCCAAGAGCCTCTTTTTTTTTTCTTTTGATACATAAAATTAGTCATTGTATATTCTTTGTTTAACTTTTTGAAAATAAACTTTTTGTAAGATGTTTAGATGTTTTCTTTCTCTTGGGTACTCCTGAAAGGAAAACCACGTAGTAATGATTGATACCTTTTCTTTAATTCATCAGTTTTGTTTGATGCTACAAGTTAAAGATAATCAGAGAGTTCCTTTAAATTTAAAAGTACTATTAAACTGAAACCCAGGAAACTATTTAGAATATTAATACTATGGCCATTTTGGCTTTTGTATTCTATTTACATTAATACAGGTAAAATAAAGACACTGGACAGAGTGGCATATTTGTTTATTTTCAGTTCACTGTGAGCAAGAAAAAAATACGGGGGGTGGGGGTATAAATCCTTAGCCAGGCCTTAATTAGGTAAAAACTCCACAGGAAATCATTTGTAGGGTTAAGCAGGGTATAGTGTTTCTTCCTCTAAAAGCTCAGGCTAGGATTCATATATAGGTTACATTATTTAGGCCCCTGAGTTAGAATTATGAAAAAAGTGACATGGCCTAGGCTTATCCTTTTAACAGTGTAGTAAGAGGCATGACAATCAAACGGGATAAAACCTGTTCTCTGGTGACACAGCACTTCCACAAATGATCCACCCCCACCATTACCCAGAATAAGAGACACCATGAAAAAAAGAATCAGCCCACAAACCTTTTAACCCAGAGTCACCCTGTTTTGCTGTTAAGCCCTTTGAACACTGGTGACCCTTTTCAAAAAACCCTCATCCAAAAATACATACTGAGACCCCACTGCATCATGAGCAAGAGTTATCTACTGATAACTAGCTTCCCTGGCATAACTTTATTAACAGTGAGAGCAGATCCTGCTCGTCCTTAATGTCTAAGTTTACAATTGGCGCGCTATCTCAACGAAAAAGTAGCCAAAAGCAGTATTAATGATATGCCTGATCTTAACTCAAATCTTGTTATATTACTCATCAGTCAATCTTCAGCATATACATTTGGGATGTTATGCTCTATATCCATCAACTGGAAGAATCTACAAAAGGGGAAACAATGTTTTCTTTAAACCAATTCTTGATTTTAATAATTAGCCTATGAATGCTAAAAGCAGATACAGCACCCTTTAACAACCACATTATGTGTAAGCTCAATATTTGCCTTTAAAGAATGTCAATCACCTATCCCCAGGGCTTTGCAAATAGAATATTAAATAGTGACATCCACTAATTACTGCTCAGTATACATAGCTGTGAAAGGCAAAATTTTATTGAGTTAACTGACTTCTGTGGTAGGATCGATTTCTACAACCCTTTGGAGGGCTCTCCTCAGTGCTTTGTTGGATAAAAATTCCCTAATGTAATAAAGCAGTAATTATTTTTTTTTATACAACCTAAGTTTTTTTTGCTAGTTTTCTTTAATATAATTAATTCTAATGAAGTACTTGATCTTTCCCTCTGATGGTAGGTAAACTGAGAGTTGGCTCTAGTTGAGTTTTATGATTTTTCTTCTCAGAATATGAGTGGCAGCTCTTTCAAACTTCATTATACAAAGTTCTCTCCCCACTCCCAAACCCTAAGGTTAAAGAAAAGCTAGAGAGACTTAGTATGGAATGTCTTTTTCATGTGAATCCTAATGCACATTTTTTCACTTTTTTTTCTCTACTATTTCTGGAGTTGATTTCACAGGATTTTACATGAACACTTAAGCTATTCACAACCTATTTTTTCCCAGGTGCATAGTAGCCTATTATGGGTACATCACCCATTGGCTAATTTTGATCTATTTGCCCACTGAGCTTTGAAGGCCATAGCAATCCCATTAGGTTATCCAGGGCTATACAAAAATACACCTTTGTTAGGGATTAAGAGCTGAAGGGGATCTTAAGGTGTGGAGTCCAACTGTACCATCTTTATAAATAAACTGAGGCCCAGAAAGGTTACATAGCTTCCCAAGGGTTGACACACACAGTAAGTATCTGAGGCAGGATTAACACTGAGATCTTACTCCAAGTCCAACATTCTGTCTTATGTACCATGCTGCAATCTGATCTGATTCAGATGTGGCTGGGCTTGCTCTAGCCTTAACCCAAATCCTTCAGATGGAAGGCTGCCTCCAAAGTACTAGCTGTAGAAATGAGATTTTTTCGATAGTATCCATTTGGGCAGAACTTTTAAAAATGCCCATTTAGCTACCTACTTAAAAAAATATATAAAGGCAAGACCAACAGTTTAGAAGCATTCACTTCTAGAGTACTTTTAAAAGAATTTCAATTTCATGAATCATTCTGAAAGTGAACCTGTTAAATACTGAATAATAACACTACAGGGAAATAGTGGTTCAGTCAACTTTAGAGGTGGATTTGAGAATAATTCCCCAAATGGCAATAATCCTTACTCACTTTTGGTTTTCCTTCAAGATTGAACTCTAGTGACGTCTGCCTTGGTATCTTAGAGGAAACATAATTTTAAAAAATACCTGAGCCTTCTCATTAAAAAAAAAAACAATAGAGTGATAGGATTGAGAATTTGGCCTTCAAAAAGGGTGTTTGGCAATGGCACATTTACAAGGAAGAGGGATAGGGTGTATAGTACTGAGAAAGAAAATTAGTTTATTCCATTACTGATAGCCTTTCAGTACTAGATTATAAATCTCAGAACTAGTAAGGAGAGGACCTTAGAGATAACTATCCCACCTAGCCCCCTCATTTGCCAAATGAGGAAAATAAGGCTCAAAAAGAGCCTCGTGCCCAAGATCACACAAACTAGTAATTCTTGCCTCCAACTCCTATCCTCTCTCCACAACAAATTACACAAAACCAGTGACGACTACTCCAAAGTGAGGAAAGGTTCCAAATTAATTGATAACAAACATCTGATATATCGAATTCCTTACTTTTGTACCTAGTTTCAGCCTAAACTGAAAAAGGTCCTCAAAGATTTACACAGTAGATTTAAAGACAGAATTATGTGGTTATATATTCATCCTTGACTGAACCCTCTACCTCCTTCAAACCCACCACTGATTACTTTGGTTCAACTAAGGATAATGACAAATCAACTATATCTAATCCAATGCCAACATCCCTGTCTCACAGGCACTCGACCCTTCTTGTCATCTTGGGATTTCATTTGGGAGCACGAGAGGAAGGAGGGAGAAAAGGATGTTGGTGACACTTCAAAGCTCGGTTTTCAGTTTCTCATACAATCCTTCTTGGTCAATCATCTCCGTACTCCCATACCAACGGTGGTAGGCAAGGAGCGCTGCATTATGGGCTGCAATGGCACCCATTTCCATAGCACTTGCTGCCCACTCTATGCTATTGAGATAGTATATGTGATCATGGAGTACGATGGGAGGGCACTTCTCTGGAGGGTTATACTGAGGGTATGCAAGCCACTCCTGCTCCTCTACAGAATCATGAGATGCAAACAGCAAATTAAGCTGCTCCTTGGTAAGAGATCCTGAGGAAAAGATTTTCCAAACAGCTGAATCGGTTGCTGGCTTAGATTGAAGATTGGCCTCTTTTTTTACTGGGGTCACCATTGAGATGCTGTAAACAAAGGAATTTGGGTTGTCAGTGGTGAGGATGTCAGAAAGGCCCACACTGTCAGTTGCCGATAAGCCAAAGAAAGGTGGATTCAATCGCCCACGAACAATAGTTGTCACCAAGGGGTAGAGGTGGTATTGATGAAAATCCGGGATGGGTGGATCAAAGTTTAGAAAAGAGATACGGGACGTTTTGCTGGTCAGTGGAGTAGCCACCATGACAATGTTGTAGAGGTCTGTGTTTATCCCTGAATCTGTTTTATAGGTGACTTCATATGCCTTCTTGGGTCCTCCTGGAGGGAAAAAATCACATTTTCATTAAAATTTTTTGTCACAAAGAAATAATGACAACACACCATTTCACAGTGTCTGGAAAACTATTTTTATAGGATTATTTTCTCAATTACCTCAAGGAATTCAAGAATTTTTAATCCTTAAAAGATAAAAGACTGTTAATAGAACAACTCAGGAGAGAAATTACAATTCCCTGGCAACAAATGCTAAAATAACATCATATTGGGGGAATAAAGATCTCTTCTTATATATTAACACATTTGTGATTAGGTAGATATAATAACACCTCTCTCCACTGGTTCTCCTACTTCTCTAACTGTTCCTTCATGATTACTTACACTTTACCCCATACCCCACCCTTTAATGTGGGTATTTTCTGAAGGCTATGTCCTCAGAGTTCTTGACTGGGAGTCTGAAGATCTAATTTCAAACCCTCAGATAATTTACTTGTTGTGTGACCCTGACCAACTCACTTAATCTCTCTAGCCTCAGCTTCCTCATATGTAAAATGAAGGGACTGAATAAGATGATCTTTGAGGTGCCTTCTAGCATTAAGCCTATGAACTTCCTCCATGAAATCTTGCCTCAACAACTCTACCTCTTCAGACTTTCCAGAGAACAACACCCTTCTCTAATGCCCTTGTGTAATACTGAGACTGCAGTAATCTGTGTATTTGTCATTATGCTTTTCGAAGACTGTGATCTCCATGGAAGAAGGGACCATGCCTTAAATTTCTTATTGCCCCCCCAAGACCTAATACATAGTGTTCTGCATAAAGTACACACTTAATATTTGCATACTGAGCAAGCAGGCACCCAATAAATGGATGAATTCACTTGAACATCAGAGGGCACTCACCACTGAGAATCTCACAATGACCAAAGATCTCAAATCTCTGAGTGGACTAACAGGCCCATATCATCTGGCACTAGAACCACTAATTCTAGCATTAAACACACGCAGATTGTCTTCTATATGTACTTCGCCCTCTGCCATCTTATGATGAGGTTACAGAGTTGGCACTGCATTCATGTTTGTTTAATCTTATCTCTGGCAACCTAAACACTAGAGTTGTCATCTGCTGCCATTAGGACTCAGAACTATCAGAGATCCAGAGCCTTCTGGAGCAAAAGGCCCACGGAAGGACTGCAATACTGGGGACTGTTCCATGTTTAGGGTAGCTTCCTGGGTATGTATGCCTTCTTTCCTGCCATCTTGGGATGAGTTGGAGCAGAATGTGAGTTCACTCCAGTCTTGGGGAATGAAGCACCAGGTATTTACACACACATATATCCCAGCCTGAAATTCCTGCTACCTCCCCAACATCTGCAATGAGACTCCAGAAGCTGGTGCTGCTACTCTTGCACCAAATATCAAGCTCTATTACCACTAGACCCCGGAGGGTAGGGTCACCAACTAACTGGTTTTTGCTCTATCCTATGGTTGACACACTTGAACATCCTGCTCTTCTAATCCCTGCGATCCATAGTCACCTCTTGCTAAAACAGAAGCCCTTTTCCAATGCTACATGTCCCTTCGTTCTTCTCATACCTATTCTTTACTCCATTCTTCCCTGGGACCCTCCACAATTCTCCAGGAGCCTTCTCAACCTGGAAGATCCCTCCACCCCTGCAACCTCACACCAAAGATTCTTCAGTCCCTATGGCCCCTTTCTCTGGTTAATCATCTCTTCCAAGCATCTCAATTTTAAGAAAGGGTTCGTGGCCAGTGATGTTCACTCCTTTATTCCTCTCTGGGCTCTGCTCCCAATTCTCCTCATTTCTTTCTCCACCATTCCCCTCTGTTTTTCAGTTTCCTTTTACATGGAGTCTTCCCCCATTAAAATGTAAGCTCCGTGAGGAGCTAAAGGGACGGACAGTCATTCTTTTTGCTTCTATATGTATCTCTGGTGTTTGGCACAGGGCCCTGGCATGTAGGAAGGACCTGACTTCCATCTCAGCCCTACTACTCTGCAGTCCCTATTATGCACTCCCCTCCTGTTCTACTGTGCCCTCAGGCAACACCATTAATGAAGTCCTTCCATCTCATATACTATCCGTCTTCTATCACTGATAGAAACACTGTTCCTATTCTCACACTCTTGACACAGGGCCTAGAGAAGGGATCAGCTCAGTTGTTTTTCTTGACTGATACTTGCAGACCTCTACCATGCCATCATCCTTAAACTCTGAGCATCCTGGCCCTATCACTGTTTGTGGCCTGCCAATTTTTAATCCTAATTCATTCTCAAAACTTACCTTCTCTACTCCTACTCTCATATTTTTGAAAGTCATGCAATTCTGATGAGCGAGTCCATTAAAAATTCATTTTATCTAATTGTATGTGACCAAAAAATTAAAAGTCACACCATAAAAAATTAGAAGAAAATTGGACCAGGTACCTTTGCTTGCTATGGCTAAATAAGTTTTCTTAACCAAAGAGAGGATAAGAGGCTATCAAAAAAGTCAAAACAGGAGGCAGCTAGATGGCGTAGTGGATACAGCACCAGCCCTGAAGTCAGGAGAACCTGAGTTCAAATTCAGCCTCAGTCCAAACACTTGACACTGTGTGACCCAATTGCCTAAAAAAAAAAAAAAAACCAAACAAACAAAAAAATCAAAACAGATAATTTTGATTCCTTGAAATTAAAAAACTTGTGGATTGACAAAATCAACAACATAGGGATAAGGGAATATTATTGACTGGAAGGACAAAAACTTTGCAATAAACAGATCCGATAAGATCTGATAGATCTGATCTCCAAGAAATATAGGAAACTAACACAAATATCTAAGATCAAGAGCCATTCTTCAATAGATAAGTTGTCTACGAATGCAAACAATTCTCAAAAGTACAGCAAACTACCAACAACTGTATAAAAGACTGCTCCAAATTACTAATAATGAGAAAAATGCAAATAAAAATAACTTTTGAGGTTTTACTTCACAACCAACAAATTACTTGGAATACAGTGGTATCACTAACACACTGTCAGTGTGTTTGACTTGGTCCAACCATTCTCAAAGCTAAGAAAGTGTCACTAAAAGATTCATATCCTTTGATCCAGAGATCCCACTGTTAGACTTATGCCCAAAAAAAGGTCAAAAATAAAAAAGAAGCCTCTATATACACTAAAATAATCACAGCCCATCATGCTTTTTTTGGAAAACTAAACAAATGGTGGCATGTGATATAATGGAATATTACTGTACTTCAAAAACTCATTGACTATGAAGAATTCAGAGAAACATGGGAAAACTTTTAACAAAATACACAATAACTACAACAATGTCAGTGGAAAGAACAACAGCAACAACAGAGAAACTTCATAATTATAACAACGAAACTTGGCCCTAAAGACATGATAAAATGAACTGACTTTCCTTTTCTGTAGAGATAAAGGACTCTAGATAGAGAACATCGCATATAGTATCATACTTGGGTGATATATCGCGGGTTTTTTCTGGGGTTTTTTGTTTTTTTTGCCAAACTGCTTTTTTTTAAAAATTATTTATTAAAAGGAATGGCTATCTGAGTGGGGAAGAAGAAGGAGATATTGGGAAATGAAGATGATATAAAAACAAAAGTTACTATTGATTTTTTAAGAAAGACTAATTTCATTTCTTCTTTTGGCAAAAATCATAGCCTATGATCCTAGAAAAGGCTACACCTAAATATTATGGATTGATGGTTTGCTGTCAACATGTATGGAAGTCCATAGTGCAGGCCATGGGGATCTATGCTTAATTAGCCCTGTGGTATTTTTTACCAATAAATTGGTTTTGGCTAACTTACAAGACTTGCAAATAACACAAATCTAGGAGGGATAACTACTATGTTGGCTGACAGAGTCAAGATCCAAAGATTCCATCAGGCTACAATTTAGGGCCTAAATCTAATAAATCAAAAGTTAATAGGGATAAATGGAAAGTCTTAAACTTGTGTTCAAAAAAATTCAACTTCATTAGTGTAAGATGGTTATTATATGGGATGGCTCTCTGAGAGAGAGTAAGGGGAGATATATGTGAAAAATTTAGGGGATAAATATTAATAAAATGTATTTTAAATGTTTTTTTAAATCAATCATTAAGATGGGGAAGTCATCACTATGTAGCTATTCTAAAAAAGATCTGAGGGTCTTAATGAACTGCAAGTTCAATGTGAGACAGCAGTAGGTTACAACATTTCAAAAAGCTAAGGAAAACTCAGAATTTATTAAGAGTCACAGTGGTCACATTAGGTAGGTGATAGCCCCATTATACTCTGTCCTGATCAGATAATATATAAAGTACTACATCTGGTGGGGGCACTACATTTTAGGAAAAAACATTAATAAGATATTGAACAGTATCCAGCTAAGGATGCCCAGGATAGACCTTATGGTCATTAGGTTAACTGGAACTGGAAATGAAGAGGAAATGAAGAGAAAAGAAGACTTACAGAGCAAGGAGTATAGAATGAGTGACTGGGGATTGAAGAGGTGGAGGGAGACAGGCCACAAAAGAGGTCTTGAAGTACGTGAAAGACCCTCTTGTAAAAGAAAAATTAGACTTGTTCTCTTTGGCCTCAGGGGCCAAAACTAGGAACAATGCATGCAAGTCAAGAAGTACAGATTTCAGCACGGCATAAGGAAAAATTTCCTAACAATTGCTGTTGAATCATTTTTCAGCCGTGGCCAGCTCTTTATGACCCCATTTGGGGTTTTCTTGGCAAAGATAATGGAATGGTTTGCCATTTCCTTCTCCAGCTCATTTTACAGATGAGGAACTGAGGCAAATAGGGTTAAGTGATTTGCCCAAAGTGTCTGAACCCAGATTTGAACTCAATAAGAGGAGTCTTCCTGATTCCAGGCTTGGCACGCTATCCGCTGTGCCACCCAGCTGCCCTAAGAATTACATCGATCCAAAAATAGAATATGCTGCTTCAGATAATAGGTACCTCTTCCTAGAAGTCAAGTGAAGACTGCGGGATCATTTATCAGGGACCTTGCTCATGTGTAGGTTGGACAATTCTGCCCCCTAAACTTAGCTGTCCTCTAAGACTATCCTGGTTCCTCTCCTCTTCTCTCTTTACATTCTCTCCATCACTGAACTCATGGCTCCCATATTTTCAATCATCTCAGCTATACAGATGCCTCCAAAATCTATAGATATAGCCCCAATTCCTCTTGAAATTCAGTCCCGCATTTTCAACTGCCTACTAGCTGTTCCAGCTCCCTCTCTCAAATTCTACAAGCCAAAAATTCAGCTCACCCTTAAGGAGCCCCATTCTCTATATTTATAGGAACGATGGGAATGACCCCAATCACGCAGATTCTTAACCTGACAATCATTCCCTCTTCCTCACCACCCTCTCCCACATCCAATCCACTGACAAGTCTGGTTAGTCTACTTCTGTAACTCTTTCATCAGTACCATTATCTCCATGTACACCAGACCTACTTTAGGCCTTCAGAACTTCCTGCAGCACTTATTCTAATAATTTGCTACTTGGTCCTCACACTTACACTATCTCCTGTTCAGTTCACCTTCCAATTAGCTCCCAAAGATCTCTCCCTAAGGTACATGATTGACTCTAACAATCAGAAAAATTCAAATCAAGACAAACTTTAAGATACTCCCTTACATCCACTAAAATGATATCATCAGCAACAACAAAGAAGATAAAACAATCTATGTGTACAACAACTGGTGAGTCACTAAATAAATTATGGTTTATTAATCTAATAGAATATTATAGAGCCACAAAAATATTAAATCTGAGGCATACAAGGAAATTTGGAAGGAGCTCCACAAATCAAAGTAGAATGGCCGACCCAGAAGTGGGTACCTACAGCCAATTACAAACATTTTTTTTTGCCTTTTTTTTTTTTTGGTGAGGGAATCGGGGTTAAGTGACTTGCCCAGGATCACACAGCTAGTAAGTGTCAAGTGTTTGGTCTGAGGCCAGATTTGAACTCAGGTCCTCCTGACTTCAGGGCCAGTACTCTATCCACTGCACCACCTAGCTGCCCCATGTCCTTGTTATTTGGGAGTTACTACTCCCCTTTGACTCTACTTGCCACATGTGAGACAATCCAAACCAAAATATCCTTCCCTAGTCCCTAACTTACTACTACATGTTGTAGTCCTCTATTAGAATGCAAGTTCCTTGAGGGCAGTAACTACTTTTATACATGAATCCACAGTGCTTATCATAGTGCTTGACACATAGTTATCACTGAATAATCTAATAGAATTATAATATTCTGTTAGATTTTTCATTATTCACCTTCGTATTCTCTATGTTCTGGTCAAATCAGGCCAGAAGCTGTGATCTACAACTGTCATTCCAAATCCCGGCCATGTGCATTTGCCCAAATTGTCCCCCACAGCTAAAATACAACTGCCTCTTCATTTCCAGGGCAGCTAGATGGCTGGCGCAGCAGATACAGTGCTGGGCCTAGAGTCAAGAAGACTCATCTTCATGAGTTCAAATCCTGCCTCAGATACTTACTCAGCTGTGTAACCCTACACAAGTCACTTAACTCCATTAGCCTCAGTTTCCTCATCTGTAAAATGAGCTAGAGGAGGAAATGGCAAACCACTCCAATATCTTTGCCAAGAAAACCCTAAATGGGGTCACAAAGAGTCAGAAATGACTCCAGAATAACTTCATCTCTCATTCTCAGAATATTTATCTTCCCTAAGGGCTCAGGTCAGAGCCACCTCCTTTTGGCAGTTTTAGGTCATTTCATCTCACTCTTCAGCCTCCAGATGTTAATATTCTCTCTGTCCTCAAACTACCTTGGATTTACTTACCTACACACAGGTTTTATGCTACAAGCCTAATGTAAGCTCTTTGAGGATAGGGACTGCTTTAATTTTTGGTTTTGTATTCTGAATGTCTAGCACAGTGTAGCACAATGTCTAGCACATAGTAAGTGCTTAATCAATGTCTGTTAAATTGAAATGACTGCATAAATCGTAAATTTGGGATGGTGGGGTAGAAAAGAAAAGAAAGACTTCTCTGACTGTCCGATCCCTACCCCTTCCTCCCCTCCCTTCCCTCAAGCACTAAATAATCATCTTCTAGAAGAGTTTAGGAGGAAAAAAATGGAAAAACCCCGAGAGAAGCTTACCTGTCTGCATGTTTCTAGCTTTCTCCTCTATGTGTATAACTGAGCCAGAGATAAGCGAAGCTTTGGAAAACTTAAGGAGCTCTTCACAAACACGTTTATTACCACCTTCCACAGCCCACAGGCCAGAATCTATACCTGCCAAGGACACTGCACCTGTCAGAGGAGAAAAAAATGTTACAAAAGGCCACAAAAGAAGGCTTCCATCCATGCAGTTTCTCCAAATTGGTCAGCATTGTTACACAGGTCAGAACAGCAATGGGATGGATGAAGTTATGTCCAGATTTTTCCTAGTTCCTCACCCAAAGACTCAGGAGCTAGAAGGCTGATTCTATGTGAGTTTCGTTTTTATTTCTATTAGATATTTGCTAGGTCTTCTCTAAACAGAGATCCAAGTAACAAACTGTCCTGTGTAGCACGTGGACCTGTGGTTTTGTAGTTTTGTGCTATTCTCTCTAACATGGAGATGATACAGAGAGGCCAGGGCTGTTAGAACCACAGCCACAATCCTTTTACAAAATACATTTCCTTGAGTAGACCCAAAGAAAATTGAATGTGCTGACTTACCTACAAAGCCATTGATGCCTGTGTTCTGGCCATAATTGAACCTCATGACGGGAGTAACAATTTCATTGAGAAATTTCTCTGAGAAGCCTGCTTTCTGCATAGACTGGAGAATGGTCCGGTTGAGCATTCCAGTGAATTCGTCCCCTCCTAGGGCATGCATCAAGCCTTCCACGCTACTAAAAGAGTAGTCATGGGACTGATAGCGGTAAATCCTTCATTGAAAAGAGGGTAAAGGGCTATTAAGTATCAAATAGAATAATTCCTAACCCCACGGCCTGTGTTTCCAGAGGCTGTCAGCATGAGAGGGGTGAGGAAGGGGTAGGGATAGAAGAAAGAAGGAAGAAATAGTATCATGAAATCAAAAGACAATGAGGTTGAATATATCTAGCCCTAGTTCCTCTCCTAAGTTTCAGTCCCTGATCTTCTACTGCTTGTTGGCTATATCTACCTTTTCTTTGTTCTACAATCACCATACAGTCAACATGTTCCTAAAACCAAGTTCATATTCCTCTGCAGAGAGGGAGAGAGACAAAGAGAGAGAGAGACAGAGAGAGAGAGAGACAGAAAGGAGAGGGAAGGAAAGGGAGGGAGAGAGAGGAGGAAGAAGAAAAGAAGAAAGAAGGAAAGAAAGAAGGAAGGAAGGAGACTTTCAGAGATCTTATCTTCTCCCTGTTATCTGGTCGGACTCATCTTTGACACATTCCTAACATTCATATCCAATCAGCCACCAATTTCTATCAATCCTTCTTTCAAAATATCTCATTTCCTTCCATTATGTTCCCACAGCCACAGGCTTAGTTTAAGCATGGACTAGGGCAATAATAGTTCCCCCTTACTCAAATCTCTTCCTCATCCAATCTATCCTATACATTATTACCAGATAAATCTTACTGAACCACTCCTTCCATCAAGGCAGTCTTCTACTCAAAAGCCTGTGGTTCTTTACTGCCTGCAACAGACTTCTCAAACCAAATTAAAATGTAATTGGGAAATGTTTAAACAAATCAAAATATATTAAAACATACATAATGTAGGGGGCAGGTAGGCAGTACAGTGGAAAGAGCACTGGCCCTACAGTCAGGAGGACCTAAGTTCGACACTTAGTAGCTGTGTGACTTTAGGCAAGTCACTTAACCCCAATTGCTTCAAAAAAAAAATGAAAAAAAAAACCACAGATAATGTTAACCTATGATTTTTTAAGTCAATATGCAACCTGGAGGAATCTGTTTTTATTTGAGTCTAACACTCCTGATCTAGTCCACCCCCACCCCCACCTATTTTATAGATGAAGCTGAGACCCACAGAGGTCAAGGGCCTTGCTAGAATTCACACAGGTGGTGAGTAACAGAGTTGGAATTATACTCTAAACCTAGGTTTCATTCCACAATACCCACACCATCTCCACCTACAGAAATTCAAAAAAGAGAAGGCAGAGGGAGAGGGAAAGGGGAAAAGGGAAGGCATAGAGAGAGAGAGAGACACAGACAGAGACAGAGACAGAGAGACACAGAGACACAGAGATCCAAGTGCTGTAGAAAAAGATTTCCTAAAAGAGGTGGGTATTGGGATTTGGGTACTTTGAAAGGGGTAAAAGACCCAACAGAATTGCAATAGAAAACTGCACAACACTGAGTAGCAAAGAAAGAGAAGAGTGGGCCAGACTATGGAGGGCCTGGAAAACCAGTCAGCTAACAACAGAATTTCCTTCAAAAATGAGTCACCCCAACACCATTTGTTGTACGCTAGTATTCCCTGCTTTCTCAGTAAGTCACCAGAAGCCATTCCATCGTACTCCGCCCAATACATTCTAGCATTTTGTAAATGAATTTTTTGGGTTTTTTGGTTTTTTTAGGCAATTGGGGTTAAATGACTTGCCCAGGGTCACACAGCTAGTAAGTGTCAAGTGCTGGTCTGAGACCAGATTTGAACTCAGGTCCTCCTGACTCCAGGGCCGGTGCTCTATCCACTGCACCACCTAGCTGCCCCCTTTTTGTTTTGTTTTGGATTTTTTTGTAAATGAATTTTTAAAAAGGATCCCAGTGTCCCCCATGAAATTCCCTAACAGTTCTATACACACACACACACACACTTTATGAAATCGAGAGAACACATGGTCCCTAATGACAACCAATGAGTCAACAAGATATCCTGAAGGAAAATGGATTAAGCAGGCCAGTTTCAGAGAAAGACAAACGACTCTTTCTTGGGAAAACCTTTTGCCTCTACCACCACCACCACCCCCACACAAAAAAATGTGAGGAAAACTTGAGGTTTCTGTGCTACTCAAAGAAACTGAACACTGATGAAAATATCTTGCAATTGTATAATATTCAGATTTGGCAAGAATTAAGATGCGACAAAACGCAGGTGAACCAGGCTCCCCAGCTGTAGGTCCACTTGGTAATTACCAACTCTAGTTTTGTCCCAATCTGGGACTTCCCGAAATATTCCAGGGGGTACTATGAATTTTGAAAAGAAAATTCTGATTTTCTTTAATAATAAAAGTACGTCATACAATACTTTTCAACCAATCAACAAACACTTATTAAACACTATGTGCTAGGCACTGTGCTAAGTGCTAGGTATACAAAGAAAAGCAAACAGTACCTCTTTTCAACGATCTTAACATTCCAATGAAGGAAACCACATGCAAATAGATGCACACAAGGTACATATATCTTGGGGCAGCTAGGTAGTAAAGTGGATAGAGCACCAGTCCCAGAGGCAGGAGGACCTGAGTTCAAACCCAACTTCAGACACTTACTAGCTATGTGACCCTGGGCAAGTCAATTAACCCCAATTGCCTCCAAAAAAAAAAAAAGATACATTTATCTTGTCATGTAATCAAACAGTGAAGGAGATCAGATGGTCACAGCTCCAAAGAGTTTGGGAACTATGATATTTTACTATAAGCCTCTTGGGGAGCCAAGACTCATCCTCTTGGTATCTACAGCACCTAGTACACAGTAGATACTGATTACCTAAATTAGATCAAAACACAATTACCAAAACTCTGAGATTCCCCTTGAGACTCCTCTGTTGCTGGTTGCTGGCTTTTGTTTAAGGCTTATTCACTGCTACAATTAGCCCAAGAGAGGTTCCCCCTCTGCTACTCAAACAAGCAATTCCTTACTTGCTGAAAAACCCCCAGAGACAAACTACCTGCACAGCAGCCCAGCCCGACCTGCCTGGCTTCCGGGGCCTGTAGGAACAAGTTACCTACCAACTTTTAAAAGGAGAGTCTTGTCTCTGGGTTGATGACTGACTCACCAACTTCTGCTCCTTCTAAGTAATATCTTCAGGGGCCCTGACAAATCCTCCAGAAGAAAATCCACTATATTGAGTCATCATGGACTCCAAAGAATTACCAAAAAGCCTAAATTTCATAAACCCAGAAATTAAGGTCTGAGGAAGAAAGAAATCTGTGATACTTATCAGAAGGCTGAAGAAATAACAGTATGTTTGTTCCACCTGAGGTAAGGAGTGGGTTCCATGACATGGCGTGTAATTTGATATCTTGGCACTTAGTTTATTCACTTGGCAGGGCAATCATGGTAATAAATTATTACTCCTGCTACCATCTTGTATACACATGCTCCTTTCTCTACAAAGTTCAAAATTAGCCATTCTAATAAGGACATACCCCTCACCCATCCCCACGGTAACCCTCAATTTGTTTCTAACCCTAACCCCACCCCAAATTGGGTTATGTCTTGAAAGAGAAGTAGGTTGTGGGTAAATATTAGATCTTAATAAAAACTCTTAACTACATAAGACTCATAAAGAGGCAGCCTGGTATTGTAGAAATAGCATTTGACCTGGGAATCGAGAGACCCGAGTTCAAATCCGGATTTGATCCTTGCTGTGCGGCCTTGGGTAATCACTTCACTTCTTCTCACTGAAATGAGGGTAACAATGACTACCTTTCCTACCTCAAAGGGTCATGGTAAAGAAAGCATTTTGTAAGCTTTAAAGTGCTACGAAAAGTGAGTCACCCTTCAAGCTGCTAACTGATCTTATCATGGTGACACAGACTAATATGGGCAAGTCAAGAAAGCCTGAACACCTTCCAACCCTGCTAGCCTGGCTTTAACAAGTATTGCCATACTCCTCAAGAACATTTCTCCAACTGGAATGATTCCCCTCCACTCTGTGAGTGGAGAAAATCTCTCCAGTGGTCCCTACAATTTTCATGACAATCCTACACAATCACTGGGAAATCTGGGAGGCAAAATCCAGACACTGGAATTCCTGAAGTCCATAAAATTAAAAAAAAAATTCATGATAAAACAATTACCTCATAAACTTGTCAAAGATATCTTCCATCCACATATGCATCCGAAGGAACTGAAATCCATAATGCCAGACAAGCTTAATCATGTTAATGATGAACCAGCTGCTCTCTTCAAATACAAGATGCTCTCCATTATGAATACCCATGAGGCCATCAATACACTGAACAGTGGGGAGATCTGCAAAAACAGAGGGAAAGTCAGTGATTCATGTGTATCTTGGACATCACTTTAAGAAGTAGTCTAGGGATAGCTAGGTGGTGCAGTGGATACAGCACTGGCCCAGAAGTCAGGAGGACCTGAGTTCAAAACTGGCTTCAGACACTTAACACTTACCAGCTGTGTGACCCTGAGCAAGTCACTTAACCCCAGTTGCCTCATCCCCCCAAAAAGATTTTTAAAAAGAAGTAGTCTAATAAAATACTTGTATGAACTGATGGTAGGACAAAATAAGCAGGACCAAGAGGACAATGTATTATAATGACCACAATGTTTTTCCTGTTCAGTCATGTCTGACTCTTCATTTGGGGTTTTCTTGGCAAAGATACCGGAGCGGTTTGTTATTTCCTTCTCCAGCTCATTTTACAGATGAGGAAACTGAGGCAAACAGGATCAAGTGACTTGCTCAGGGTCACACAGCTAATAATTGTCTGAGGCTGGATTTGAACTCAGGAAGATGAGTCTTCCTGACTCCAGGCCTAGCACTTTACCCACTGAGCCACTTAGCTGCCCAATGACCACAATACTTATAAAGGAAAAACACTAAAAGACTCTAAAACCCTGGTCAATGCATAGACTAATCACAACCTTAGAAGACTGATGTTTCTCAGATTCCAAACAGAAGCAAGCATCTATTTTTGCTTTTGTTTTTTAGGCAGTTGGGGTTAAGTAACTTGTCCAGGGTCACACAGCTAGTAAGTGCAAGTTTTTAGTCTGAGGCTGGATTTGAATTCAGGTCCTTTCGACTTCAGGGCGGGTGCTCTATCCACTGCACCACCTAGCTGCACCAAGGCATCTATTTCCAAACACGGTCAATGTATTGATTTGTTTTGCTCAACTACCCTTGCTTCTTATGGAGGATTCAACTGAAGAAAGGGAAGTGATTAGGCAGACTGGAAAGTGATAGCATTGTAAAGGGAAAAAGGACATCAATAAAACAATTTTTAGAAAGGGAAATCTATCCAAAAAAAAAGCAAAAACAAAAAACAAAAAACCCCTTCTCATATCTTGAAACTAACTGTAGAAACTCACACTTTCAGTACAAGAGCTAAGTAGGGATTTCAAATAAGAAAGCCAATTCAAGCAATCTACTGGCATATATTAAACACTTACTCTATGCCAGGGACTAATATTCAGAGAATCTTAGCACTGGGAGTGACCCCTGCTTCCCCAGCTAGATCCTTAACATGCAGAATTTAAGCATAAACACAATCCTTTTTAAAATTTCCCTTCAATATTCCATTTCTTCTCCCCTTGACTCCTGCGTGGCTCTACCACTGGCAACCTCATCTCATGTTTTAACTGTAACTCCATGCTCTTCATTTTCCTTAATATGCATTTCTGTCATTTATACTTTGCCTCCTGTTTGTTGCCATCTCATCCAGACTGACCAGACTGAGATTGGATGTGCGTGCATACGCATATATGTGTAGGCTACAAAAAGGGGGAAGGGAGAAAGGGAGGGAAGGAGGAAAGGGGGGGAGGAACAGATAGACAGAGACAGAAAAGTAGAGAGAGAATGCGTGTCTGTGTAGGGTGCAAAAGGGAGAGTAGGGAAATTAAGTCTCCTAACAGAAACTTCCATTTCCAACCAATGGCTTGGGAGTCAGAAAACTGTAATTTCTTAGTCCTGGCTCTGCCACTAATGTGAACTTGGACAAATCACCTTACCCGCTTGGGACCTTGGCATAAAATGAGGGGGTTGGACAAGATTTCTGAAGTTCCGACCAGCTCTGAAGCTGGATAACATAATCTACAAGAAAACTTCAGGCACACTCTTTGTGATGTGGCCCAACTCAGTTCTAATTGTTTTTTATATATGTGAGTATGTGTTTGCATACATACACATACACACATACATCCGAATATAGATGTATGTGTACACACACATATATACATATACATATATATTCCTTTTACTGAGTGAACTTTTACTCCCTGGTTTTTGTTTGTTGTTGTTGTTGAGTCATTACAGTCATGTTTGACTCCTCGTGACGCCATTTGAGATTTTCTTGGCAAAGATACTGGAGTGGTTTGCCATTTCCTTCTCCAGTTCATTTTATAGATGAGGAAACTGAGGCAAACGGGGTTAAGTGACTTGCCCAGGATCACATAGCTAGTAAGTGTCTAAGCCCAAATTTGAACTCAGGTCTTCCTGACTCCAGGACCAGCACTCTATCCACTGCACCACCTAGCTTCCCCAAGTACCAAGAACTCCCTGGTATTTCTGCTTATTGATCCCAGTTATGCCCTCTGGAATCAGAGAGTTTCATTCTAATCTCTTTTTCAGATAAGAGTCCTTCAAATAAGTATCTTAAGAAAGATAAGCCATCATGTCCCCCAGAAGTCCCATCTAGACTCGATACTTTCAAGTCACTCAAGACTTCCCTCTCATGGGAGGGCTGGTGGTTCTTCCCTGAGGCTAACCACCCTCCTCTAGATATGCTCCAGTTAGTCAACGTTCCTCCTAACATGGGACATTGAGAACCGACTGCAAAAACTCCAGATGCCATCTGACAGCAGCATCCACCAAATCACAGAACCAGAAAACACGAATGCTCAAAGGGACCTTCGAGGCTGAAAACCTGGCTCTGCCAATGCCTGTATGTGTGACCTTGGGTAAGTCACACAGCTTCTACAGGTCTCAGTTTCTTAGTAAAGGGACAGGGTTAAGCCTGATGATCACTAAGGTCCCTTCAAGCTTGGATACAGTACGATTCTTGATTGCTATTAGCTTATATCCAGAGAAAGGAAATGAAAAGTCCCAAGAAATAAAGCAGTTTATTAAAAGCCAAAGGCTTTATTTTGGGTTTGAATTATTTATACTGATGTTGTCTTAGGTTTCAATATTAACTCTGTTGTAAATATTTGCCCAAAATGTAGCCAGCATTGTGGGTCTAAGACACTAACCTCCCTGAAAATTTTTCCTATCAATGTTTAACTGAATTTACATGTATATGTACTCCCTGACTAGAACATCAGCTAATCGATATTTGGTAACCTGGTAATGTGCCATTTTGTTCAGGACTAGAGCCAAGTAGCATGAGGTAGGAGAAAACAACAGCAGTGTGGTCCTGGGTTCAAATCTTGGGTCCACTATTTACTATTTGTATGACCTTTGGCAAGGTCTGAAGGCAACAGTCACAATAGAATTTTTCACAACACAAAATAGCATGGGAATCAGTCTATTCTGTATAACTGAATGAAGACTAGATATATTACAAAACTTTCATACTTTGCACTGTATCCCTAAATCCTCTTTACTACCTGGGCAGCTCTCTCAATTCCCAGCCCTGCCTACCCCACCCCACACCTTTGAACAGGAGTAAGGCTAATAGTGCTGAAGAAAGTCAGAAAACCCTGAGTTAGCATCCTGCTTCAGACATTTATTACCTGTTTGACCCTGGGGCAAGTCACTTAATCTCTCTTTGCCTCAGTTTTGGTAATATAGCACCTACAAGGTAGTTGAAAAGGTTGAAATGAGATAATATCTGTAAAACATTTTGCAAATTTTAAAATGGCATTTAGATACCAGCAATTATTCTTGCTACTGCAGAAGCAACATGATATGGTTAGTGCACAGAGAGCAAGCAGGGACGCCCCAAAACCTGGGTTCAAGTGCTGTCTCTAACATTTGACCAGGGGCAAGTCTCTTAATCTCTCAGTGTTCTGGAAAATCTTGTAACACTTTAAACTGTAGAGAAGTTTCTGACCTACACTGCTGATGGTGTTTCCTCACCTATGCCAATGAAATCACAGATGTAGTCCCTATCCCAGGCATTGCCATCATAATTACTATAATTAATTATCAATAACAATTATGTAATAATTTTAATAACGATAATTTTATATTTACATATTATATTTATGCAATGTATGATTTTATTATTATTATTATTATTATTATAGTGGAATGAACACTATGTGGAATCAGAAGACCTAGGGTCCAGAGTGGGCTGGCACTAAAAGTATCTCTGCCACTAACTAGCCGCATGACTTTGGACAAATCACTTTACTTCTCTGACACTTCTCCATCTGAAAAATAACGGGGTTTCCTCGCTTTTGAATATCATGATTTTAAGATGCAAAGTCACTGGCTAATGAACACACCCCCATTGGCCACCAAAGCATATCTCCTGTGGCAGCTCTCAATCATTCAGAGAACAGATTTAAGTTAACAGTACACTTTCCCTACCACCACCAGACTTGAAATAGCAAACATGTTTCCTAAGGCACGACCTTGGGCTGTTACAGAAAAGTAAAAAATGATGGAATGGCTTTTTTCCAACTAATTTCTTTTGAAAAGAAGAAAAGAAAAGAAAGGAAAAATCTCAAGAATGCTGGAGTTTCAGTTCCATCCCATAAAAATAGCCATTGGTCACCAAACGACATCATCCTACGTCTCTAAAAGCAGAAAATCCTACATACCCAGTTCCTTGACAAAGCGCTTCATGTGCAGATTTAAGGGATGTATGACAGAACCTCCGGACTCGTAGTCTTGGCCTTTCATGTTGATAGTAGCCAGACGGCCTCCAACCTTTCCTTTCTCAAACACATCAATCTTCACTTCTTTCCCAAATTTCTGCCGTAGGTAGTACGACACTGAAGTGCCACCAATTCCAGCTCCAATAATAGCTGGAAGAAAAAAAATGAGAGTTATATTCCTTCCTGAAATCAAGGTTAGCAGGCAGTTTATCTTTTTGTTTTCATGTGTTCTTTTGTTGTTATTGGTTTTGTTCAGACTTGTGATTTTATTTTTATAGGGAAATTTATATATTTTATATATTTTTATAATTTTATATTTTTTGTAGTTTCCTCAGTGTGAGGAAACTCCTTCTATGGGTAAGTTTTCACCAACTTCTGGTCTTAAAGAGAGCAGTCTGGGGTCCTGAGATGTTAAGGAAGTGGCCAGGTCACATAGCTGGAAGGGACCAGAGTTCTTCCTAATGCTGAAGCAGGTTCTCTCTCCACTACACCACACTGACTCTCTTAGAATTCTCACTAGGTGAGACATCTCTAGTAGAGTAAATAAAACATTGCATCTGGGGTCAGAAGGCCCGGTTGTAAAGTCCAGGTCTATCATTTATAAGCTGTGTGACCTTGGGCAAATCAAAATTAAGATTAATTTTGTTTTCCTCATCTATAAAAATTCAATACATCAAACATTTATTAAGCAACTATGGGCTGAGCACTGGGCAAAGGGCTAGAAAATAATACTCATACTACTTATCTCACAGGTTATTACAGGTGAAAAGGAGGGTAAAGCATTTTGTAAATCTTAAAGTACTATCAATGTTTCAATTATTATTAACTGGAACTAAGGGGAATGAAAGATGGCGGTAACACAGACTCTTGAAACTGAGATTGGTAGGGACAGCTACGTGGCACAGTGGATATAGCCCTGAAGTCAGGAGGACCTGAGTTCAAATCCAGCCTCAGACCAAACACTTGACACTTACTAGCTGTGTGACCCTGGGCAAGTCACTTAACCCTAATTGCCTTAAAAAAAAAGAAAGAAAGAAAGAAAGAAAGAAAGAAAGAAAGAAAGAAAGAAA